AGTGGTTGGAAAAAGATTTGGGCTGAGACCCAATTACCTTCCTCAATCAGGATCATTTGGTGGAGAAAGCAACTTCTTTGGAAGCTCAACCAATCTTTGCTCTTCATACCAAGGGTCTGATCGGTTTGCGGTTGGTGGATTCTGTCCAGACATGTCAAAGCCTTTTAATGGGAAGAGTTCTTTGTTTCACCCGTCATATCCAACAGCTTCAACAAAACGAGTTGGTTTACTAGGGATTTCTTCAAATGACCTTGCAATGGTTAGTTCTTTACCTACCACATACTTTAAGTTGATGTGAAGCTAGCATTTTCTAGCAAGCATACATTTCTGCCAAAAGCAAAAGCCATACCAAGATTGAGTCAGGCATGAAGCTAAGAATAATTTCAACTGATACAAAATTGTCTATGTGAGCCTTTTTTTACCTTTCTTTTGGCTTTAGGGGTGGTGTTAAAGAGGTCATTTAACTTTAATCTTGATATGATTAATTCAACTATTAAGTTGGCTTCATTGGCACCTGCATATAGAAAGTGGTTCTAGTATCAATGACTCAGTTGGTTGGCGCAGCTACCAAGTTTTAAGCATCCCCTCCCCGCCCCAAAAACTAAAATCTAGTTCGAAAAGATCGAGGCTTTTATACAAGTGACTCTTGGAATTGTAGCTAATAGTAGCCAATTTTGAAAGCACTGAATGACGTCTCATGATTTTGTTTTTGGTTTAAGATTACGACATAATTTTGGTTTGCATCATCCGTTCATCATTAGATTCCAATCCTGAGATGTTTCTAGTAAGTTTCCAATTCAAAAATATTGTCTGTTAAATAGATACTGCCAACAGATTGATTATAGTTTATTGCCTAACAGTTAAGTCATATGCAGGCTTCTTTTCAAAAAGGATCATTTAGTGGGTTTGGTTCTTGTTCGGGCTCCAACTCGAGAGGCTACAGTGGTAGCCAAAGTGATCAAAGTGCTTGTCATGGCAGAGTCTCCACTTCTAGTTTAGGAATAAGTGGTCATAATTGGTCTACACTTGATGAAGCAAGACAAGGAGGGAGCTGCAACGACTTTTCCTGCAGTTGTACTGTAACACTTGATACACTAAGTGAGCGTAACAGGGGACCTAGAGCATTTAAGCCTAAAACTCAGATAAATACCAAGGGTTATATTGTTGATAGCAGCAAGAATGGAACAACTAATGGCATTACCAATGGATCGTACAGCCGACAGAATTTTGCCACTGATTACGAGGGTGCCATGTTCTTTGTAATCAAGTCTTATAGTGAAGATAATGTCCACAAGAGTATAAAGTATGGTGTCTGGGCAAGCACCCCGACCGGCAACAAAAAATTGGATACTGCTTATCATGAGGCAAAAGCTAAACAAGGAACATGCCCTGTCTTTCTCTTATTTTCGGTAATCTACCTTGCGTTGCATTCTAGGTGTTGGAGGGGTTAAAAGAAAAAACAAAAAAAATGATGAAGCCTTATAATTTAACCGAAAACAGCTGATGGATAGAATATCAACTAGGATTAGTTGATCTTAGTATGTAATCTCTGTGCTTTCCTTCTGTTTCTTTTGAAATCGTTGTATGTTACTAATGCAGGTGAATGCAAGTGCTCAGTTTTGTGGAGTGGCTGAGATGGTGGGACCTGTTGACTTCGATAAAAGTGTGGATTATTGGCTTCAGAATAAGTGGTCTGGACAATTCCCTGTAAAGTGGCACATGATTAAAGATGTCCCCAATAGTCAGTTCCGCCACATTCTGCTTGAAAATAATGACAACAAGCCTGTTACTAACAGTAGAGATACTCAAGAGGTAAGGATGCACTTGGGGTTGACACTTTATAACCATTTTTTTCGTGCTGATCTGATTCTTGGTGTTTCCGGTTACATTCAAATTAGTGTGTTATTGCCTCATTCATGGCTATTCTAACTAGGGCTTCTGAGGTAATTATGTTGGTTTAGAATCAAATTTGATTCAACCAAGCCAACATTAAACTTGTCTAATATTCCACACTACTTTTTTTTGTACATAATTATATAGTGGTGGTGTATTTATGATTTTTGTTGAAATGTAAGACGCATAACCGGATGAACTCGAAGTCATACTGTACATCCCAGAGCTAGAAGATAACTGCCCTTGTTTCCATTTGAACTTGTGAATGGGCATGTAAGGCATGCACATCAACTTGTTATGTGGTATTAAGCATGCAAGCAAAATCGCACCTGCGATGCTGATATGTAAGACCTGATTCCCATGAATCCAGTTTTCAGACCATTGTACTTCTTATATCTGATTGTGTTTATGTCAAGTAAGGTATATAATCTTTCTCATCTTTCGTTGCGACAACGCTATCATATGGTGTCTGACACTGCTGCATCAAATAATATCGCAGGTTGAATTCGAACAGGGTATCGAGATGATAAACATTTTCAAAAACTATGAAAGTCGTTCTTCCATCCTAGATGATTTCCATTTCTATGAAGAGCGACAGAAAGCAATGCTGGAAAGGAAGGCCAGGCAGCTAACTACCCTAGTGGCTTCCGATTTAGTTCGTGATGCACCAAACCTCGTCTCACTCCCTAATGATTTCGTAAAGAAAATGTCCAAGAGCTTCTCCGAAGTTCTTCTGTTAAACGAGAACGAGAAAGCAGCCGGAGCAGCTAAAAAGGTGCTCTCTGCTGCTTGCGGAGGCCATGGCAGATAGCTGCAACCACAAATTTGGCCAACAACGAGACAAATATGGGTAGGGAATTATAGTTTATATTCATATCTCGTGTTCTTTAATATTTCCCTGTCCCGCTATAACTCGGTTTATTGATTTTATTTGTTTAGATTAGATAGACATTCTGCAGTAGTCCCTAAGATAGACTTGGTTCATTACTAAATACCGTATGCATACAGTATATATATAATATGTATACCGCAACTGATACTACGTATATATTAAGTTCTTTCCAAAAAAGCCTTCCTAAAGATGGAAAGCTGTGGTTTATGGAAATTGGGAATCTAGCTAATTTGCCATTTCTCTAGGACTAGAGCCATAGCCTAGAGGTGTCACCGTTGATACTCGATGATGATGGGTCTAGAATCAATGTATAAATATAAATTTGGGTAAATTACGTCAATGATCATTAATGTTTAGGTAAGTGTTCGTTTTTACCACTGATGTTTGAAAAGTCATAAATTTATCACTAACGTTATCGTTTGTTATAAAATGGTCACTAACATTATCATTTGTTATAAAATGGTCACTAACGTTATCGTTTGCTAAAAAATGGTCACTCAACGTTAATAACGGTTAACAAATCGTTACTACAATAACGAAATGCTGATGTGGCATGTTTGACCAACAGACTAAGCATGTTTGACCGATTGTTTGGTAACAAACGAAAAAAAGAAATAGACGGGTTATGTGCTGACTTGTCTGAAATGTTCATGGGTGGTTAGTGGGAGGAGGAGGAAGAAGAAGAAGAAGAAGAGTCAAACGGTTGGTCAAACATACTGAGTCAGTTAATTTAATGTGTCACATCAGCATTTTGTTACTGTAATAACAGTTGTTAACGTCATATGATCATTTTGTAACAAACGATAACATTAGTGACTATTTTGTAACAAACGTTAACGTTAGTGATTGATTTGTGATTTTTAAAACATTAGTGGTGAAAACGAATACTTATCCAAATATTAGTGACCATTGGCGTATATTACCCTATAAATTTCTTTACCATGTTGGGTAAAGTTATTAGGGTTTTGAATTTATTTAAGTTTTGAATTCGACGTAGTGTTCACTGTGGCATCACGAACTTAACTTCATCTCTGACCTTTGATGTCGGAGAACAATGGTAGCCATAAACACAGCTCAAGTACTTCAGTAATATTTTCTTTAAATTTAAGGGTAAACTACTCGTTCAGTACCTAAAATATTAGTTTTGGTTTGTTCTAGTATCTAAACTTTTAGTTTTTTAAAATTATATCTAAAGTTTAATTTTTGTTTCATTTTAGTATCCCGTTTAAAATTTTAGTTTTTATTTCAATTTAGTGTCTTGTTCAAAATTTAACGTTAAGTTTTAAAAAGATTGAAAGTTTAGGTATTCAAGCAGATTAAAACTGATAATTTAAGTACTAAACGTGTTAAGTTTCTAACAACGGGTACTAAAATTAAACGTTAGATATAATTTTAAAAAAATTAAAAGTTTAGATATTAAAATGGATCAAAATTGATAGCTTATAATACTTTAAACTATATCTATAATCAAATAATAAAATTTTGGGTATAAATTACTTTATAATCACTTCAAATTATTTAAAATAATTCAATCAGATTAAATTTATTTTAAAAACAATCTTTTTAAGCATTGATTTTTATGTCCACACAACTCACATTTAAGACGAAAACAACTTTATTTTTCTATCCATTTATTTTGGAGTATGATGTTTGTCTGGCTGCCATAGTCATCGATGATGGACCTCGCTCATTGACATTTGGACCGCAAAGGGGGCCGGATTCAATAACTCTATACTTCCCGAGTCCAACTGCCATTCAAAATCTCTCACTCACTTCCCTCTCATGCATTCATTTCAAATCTCCAATTTTGAACACACATAACTAGACAGAATTGCCCTTAAAATGTTTGGCAAATTCTCATAAGCAATAGATGCATGATAATGTTTGATTGATTTGAGTGTCCCATGTAATTCTTCGTAATAGTTTTTTTTATTATAATATGAACTAATCATCGGGAAAAAATAATTTGTATAATGTTTAAATTTTATAAATTTATGAATTTAGAGAGAGTATGAAATTGAAAATTTAGATTTAGGGTTTAGAGAGATTGTATACGTACACTACACGTATGTGGTCTGTGTGTCATTCTTTGTTATAAACATGAACAGTCTCACTAATAGTCACGACAGTCATCCAAGATTATTTATTTTAGTTTTTTCTCAAACGTAGTATCTTATTAAACTTGAAGAACATATCATGAAATGAGCACCGAAGAGTTAAAATCTCCCATAAATATGATCATATTTTAAGTTAAGAAAGTAAAAACAACGACAATGGTGAAACCAGTTAAGCAATCCCATCAGGAAGTGCATAGAAAAAGAAAAACACGGCCGAAGCAACCAGTAGCACGGGACCAACAAAATGATCAGCAGCTTCAAGCTTCGTCCCGCCGGACTTGTCATCAGCATTCTGCGAACCAGACGACGGCCTAGCTGGCGTCACCGTCGTTGACGACGAATTCGTAAAGATAGCCGCGTCCGGCGAGTTTGGGGCCAATCCAAGAAGCTCTATTCATTCAGAACACAGACACACACCGTTTCATTAAATGCATAATCAAAAGCAAAAACGGAGAAGGATAATTTAAAGCTTACTCGGGCAATCACTGACGCTAGCGTTCTTCAACTGGCAAGCCGTAGGAAGTTGAAAAAGCTTATCTTGCTGCACACCCATGCTCTTGAGACTTTGAGCCCCAGATGTCTGGCTTTGCTGAAGAATATAACACAAACACTTGGGTTCGTTTTCTTTTACGCTCGACACCGAACCGCAACACTCCTTGGACGGCTTCTCCGCCTTGCCCTGAGCAAAGTTCAGGCAACTCATCACGCTCTGGAAATCTTTGCTGCACTGGTTGGCTAATCCGCTCTCGTCCGCCGCACCGACGAAACACGCCAGCATCGTGATCGTCGCGATTGAAACTATCGAACCCTTCACTCTTCTTTGTTCTTTTCCCATTTCTTCAATCTTCACTGCTTTTCTTTACTTGTTGAGTTTTTGGAACCAAACTTGGAAAGTATCTTGGAGAAGATAAATACGAAAAAATGAGAAGCAATGTCGGTCAAATTGTGAATATAGTCCCTGTACCATACTATATATTTGAATCTGATTTTGTCTTTTTACTATAATTTAATTTAATAAAAATCAAGCTACTTTAATGGTTAAAATGATAATTGTATTCCTAGGTATTATGATAATTGTATTCCTAGGTATTTCAGGTTCGAACACCAATAACTGCAAAATATTTGAGTATTTATTGTCAAATAATTTAGAGTATTTAGAACAAACAATATTCACTTGTAATAACCCTAAATTAATAAAAATACTAATCCATCTGTTCCATTAATTATTCTTTTATTGGGAAAACACGTAGTTTTAGAAGATATATTTGAACATATGTAAAATAAGAGAAATAACAAAATTATTCCTCAAAAATTGATTTATAGATTTGATAGATTTGTTTTGATATATATAAAAAGTATGGGTAAAAAAGAAAATATAAGTGTTATTGTTTATTAAAATTTTAATAGAATATTATGAATAGAACAATTTTAAAACTTAAAATGATAAATTTATTGGAACAAAGGGAATATAATTTATACCATAATTTTGTTATTTATTGAGGACTCGGGTTGGAACACTATAGATGTTAAGAGTCTGAACGTTCAATATCGAAAGATTAAGAGTTTATTTTAAACAAATACTATCTTATACTTACCCCAAATTAATAAAAATCCTCTGCTTCTTGGAATATGTATTTTTTCTCACGCTCATTTTTTCCCGTTAATTATATCAAATAAATTGTTTAACTTATTTTGTGCTAAAATTATCAAATAATAGTATAAGGATTAAGTCCATAAAAATTAATAGTACATGGACATTTTATGAATTTGACCTAATATTTTTAGGGCTGATTGTATTAATGACATGCAGTTGAAGGGTGGAAGATAGGATTCTTTGTTGTCACTTGAGATGGAGATCAACGGTGCCGGTGTTTTTTGATATAAACGTAGGGCCCCACTTTATTAGTTGGGCAGCAAGCAGTAACGTAGAGGTAATAATAATAAGTTGTTGGTTTCAGACCGAGGAGTTTAGCTAACTGGGAGACCAAGCACGTGTCTCTCGACGCTCCACGTGGCAAAATCTTGTTGGTTTATGAAAATGAAAAATACCTTTTATTTGTTTTTTATAAAGGCGAAAAATCCATGCTTTTTAGTGTTCCCATTTTTGGAAATTGAAATTTCATTAATTATGGCTTACGGTCGGGCATGAAATTCATGCTTCCACCAATTTACAAACTTTTATTTTTTTTCATATATAATTAGCTGATCATTTTTCTCATATGTAATAGGGTAAGGAGAGATATGATAATAGGCTGTCCCTAATGTCAGGTTGAGAGCAGTTTCCGTGGGAGACCACCGAATTATGAAATGCCCTCCGTGAAACTCGATCCCACGACCACAAGATTAAGACCCTTTTTCATATATATATATATATTTAAATATAAACATTATATTTAATGGACGTTAAATTTCGTCGTTAAGTGATACGTGTTACGCTTAGGTAAATTTGAATTTTTTAAATAAAAATTTTAAAATTTTATAAAGACGATACATGTCATTTAACGGTAAAATTTTAATAGTGGTAATGGTCAAGACACCTAAAATGTAACATTAGAAACTTTAGGCACCTATATTAATAAAAAAAATAATTTAAACACCTAAATGAGATAAAAATGTTTAATTTGTGCACTTATTTTGACTTTTAATATATATGTTAACATATTAATAATAATAAATTTAAAAATTAAAATTTTAATATATTATTTTTTGAGTTACGCGAACATTTTGAATTAAGTGTTAATTAACTCGTTTCGGCTGTAACGAGAATGGTTACTTTTAATAATAATAAAAATTGGGCTTTGCCTATAAATACTAGCTATGTTGGATGCATCGCCCGCAGAGTGAGTAAAGAGATTGAAGGTTATTGAGAGGTGAGTGATTGGCGGCAGTTCTGCGGTGCGGCGGTTCTAATTACCTAAATAAGTAAATATTGTAAAAAAGTATATTTTCGGTGAAATATTAATTAAAATATTATTTTTTGATCGGATTTTTTTATCGCGTTTATCTATATAGGTAATTATAATTGGTTAAAATAATAATATTTGTGGTTATTTTTTATCGATTTTATTATTTAAAATAATAACAAAATCGATAACATCTTATTTTAACCGTATATTAAGACACTGCATGTCAACGTTTCCCGTTTTGGGCATCTTTGGAGGTACTAAAGTATTTGTTAAAGTTACTATTTTACGACTTTAAAATACTCAAAGTACAGGAAGAGCATCCCGAATGGCCTTGGAGTAGCTGTATAATCAAGCCGCGTCTCCCCCGATGATTGAAGCCGGTGTTAGATTATTGACGAGGCTCGAGAACGAGCAGAATGAGGAGTTGAAAGCGATCGACGAAGGCTGGGATACGTGGTAACTGAAAATCTCGACGACGAAGGAAACAATGGTGGCCTAATTCTACTAGCTTGGTGTGAGTAATGTCGTTGGTCCGTCTGTTATTAGTTGTATTGGTTGGGTTCTGATGGAGGATTAAAAAATTCTGATTCGACTCGATCCGAGAATAATAATGTAATTTTTTAAAAAAAATTATTTAATTAAGTGTTTTTTTAATATTAGGTTGGGTCAAGTCGAATTTATACTCAAAACATTTGGGTTGGGTCGGAGTGGGTGGAGGATGTATGTTTTTCGATTCGGGTCGAATCGGAAAGAGAATATATATTTTTCGGGTCGGTTGAACTCGGGTGGAATATACATATTTTTTGATCGATTCGGGTTGACAAAAAATCTGATCCTAACTCGACATATTACCATCTTTAGTTGGAACATTCTCGAATATTTTAGATGTGAATGATAGAATTTTTTTCATCTTCTTTACGGAGAATTTCAATTATAGGCATAAGATTTTATATTAAAAGAGTAAACTTGAGTTTATAAAATTTTAGAAGTGATTAACTTAAACTTATAAAATTCTAAAGGAAAACAAATTTTAATAAAATTTTAACATAGTATCTAACATAATATGCAGGCGAGGTCACTTTTAAAAGTTTAAATTAATATATATTTTAAATATTTTTATACTTTTAATTGATAATTTATTTTATCTTTTTAAATTTTTACAAATTTATTCCTTTAAAAAAAAATTTCCTAAAATAAAATCTTATATTCGTCTATGTTGATATCTAAGTTACAACCTCTATGACATTAGGGTTATCGAGAAAGGAAGAGAGGAAAATAACATGTCTTTTTAAATACATGAATCTCAAATTATATGACAAGTACAACAAAAAGATTATAGGACTTAGAAAGAAATTCATCTATGTAATATTGAATTGTCACATAAGAATAACGAGATTATTATCACATTTATCATATATATATATATATATATGCATATGTATATGTATGCATGTATGCATATGTATGTATGCATATGTATATGTATAAGATTCACCTATATAATATTAAAAGAATTATTATTGTTATTAGAGATCACGGATTCAAATATCAATAGTTACAACAAATGATTAAAACTATTTAAAATAAATACTATTTTATAATCATCTTAAACTTAGTAAGAAAAATACTTGTTTAGTTTAATAAAATATAAAACTTGAATAACACGCACAAAATATGAAAATTAATATGAAGTTACGCTCATTCACAGCCCTTTCCTCAATATTTTTGAAAAATTTATTTATTGTTAAATAACTGAATTTTCTCTTTAATATTCGATTTTTTCCATTTAATAATATAATAAAACAATCATATTAATGAATTATTCCAACTAGGCTCGTAAATGAGATGAGACAGATCGCGAGCTACTCGAGATCGACTCGATCAAGGCTCGATAAATATTCAGACTGAATGGACTCGACTCGAGTTCTTAACGAGCCGAAACGAGCTACTTGATATTCGACTCGAAAAGCTCGTGAGCAGCTCGAAAATATAATATATTAAGATTTTATTTTTTTAAATAGATTATTAATAATATTAATATTTATGTATTGATTTTTCTAAAAAATGCAGTAAGATTTTCATATATTTAAGGTTCAGGTCCGAGTTTGAGGCTTCAATCGAGTTAAATTTAAGATTTTTTTTCCATTTCAAGCCTTTTTGAGCTGCTCACGAGCTTCAGTTTAGGATTTCGAGTTCGATTCGAGCTTGAAAATTTTAAGCTCACGAGTTTTCGAGTCGAGTCGAGCTCAGCAATACTCAAACTCGTTTACACCCCTAATTCCATCAATATCTATTGATATATTTTTTTCTCAAATAACTCATCCAACGGCTAAAATTCATCCACCGTTTTCTAGCTTTAAATTATGCCGACACTTTTCAGGCTCCCCTTAGTTTTCATATAAAATTCCATTTTTAACATATAAGAAATTATAGATCACATTAATTATCGATAGAGGTGGCAAACAAATCATTCGGATCGGGTTTCGGTGGATCATTTCGTGTCGGATAATTTTGGATTTAGATTAAATTTGGTTTAATTTTGTTCAGATCGAATCTGGTTCGAATTTAGAACGGGTGTAAGGTGAATCAAATTGGGTCAGATATCAAGTCGGGTCAATTTTCGGGTCAGGTGATTATTAGATCGGTTGTTTTCCGGTTAGGATCAATATCAGATTAGTTGATTTTTGGATCGAGTCAATATCGGGTCGTGTCAATATCGGATCAGTTGATTTTTGGGTCGGGTTAATATCGAATCGTTTAGATTTCGAGTCGAGTCAATATCGGATCAGTTGATTTTCGATATATGTCAACTTTTAGATCAGGTTAATTCGAGTTGAATTGGTTATGAGTCTAATCAAAATTAAATATATATAGAATAATTGATATATACTTGAAAAAATATATATTATTATTTGTTAATTTTATCATTTAGGTTTAATTTAAATTCTCAATCGTTCAATATTTTAAATTAA